GGAAGGATCGAGGACGAGTTTCGGGAGGATTGGAGGTACCGTGACAATTGCCCCGTAACAGTGAAGCGCTGGCGTCCAGAAAGCAGTTGCAGTTCACGGTCCAGCATTGGAGTTCATGGTCTCCTAATGTTGTGAACCGGAAGCACAAACCGTGAACAGTGAGGTATCCAGGAGGGTTACAGAGGTTACTAACGGCAAGGCAGTTCACTGTCTCTAAGACAGTGAACTTGGAGCACAAACCATGAACCCCGAAGAGTGAAGCGGTGCGTTTTGGAGACGACGCCGAGTTCACGGACGCGTCGAGGAGTTCACGGCCGTGAACTGAGCCTGATCTCAGTATAAAAAGGGCTTTGAGCTTAAGGAGAAAGGAAGAGCTTCATTTTTAGGTTAGGTTTTCATTTTTCAACATTCCAAAATTTTAGTATATTAATTAAGAAAAGAGTTACAAAATTATTAACATAAAAATGGCTAATATTTTGATTGATTATCAAAGATTTAACTAATTAATATAATTTTAATAAATTTAGATAATAAAAAAAATTGAAATTTTTTTAAATAAAAAATAGACATTATAATGTTTTTATGCTAGACAAATTGGGGCGTGACCGAAAAAATCAAGCAAACGCTTTCGTGAGCCTGGCTCCTAGATAAAATAACCTAAAAGCCTAAATCCCGTTGCCTTCTTGAACACGCGGGAAAATGGGGGAAAAAGGTTTCCGGCGCGCTTATAATGGACTCCTTGTCGTCGGCGCTACTTCCCGGTGGCTGCTTGTTCGTCTGTTTTCCTCGCCGACGGCGGAAACTTCCCAAAAAACCCACAAACACTCACGCAAGATTCCAGTTCCCGCTTATATTCAATTCTCAACAACCGTCCAAAATCATCAAAATCCGCGTATGAAACCACTACTTCCCTTTATCTTTTTCCCAGAAACGGAAGCAGAGCTCTGCAAATTGGCTTTTCTATTTTCAAAAGTAAACATCTACTAAGAATAGTGATCCACCTTTCATCTCCATTATATCAACTCAAATTACGAATGCCCATCTTCACCTCTCTTGATTTCAGTGTAGAAAGAAACGACGCCCCGATTAAGCTCTCTGTTCATCAACTCTCATGGCTGCTGCTGTTGGATCGAAAAAGGTAACTTGGGTACATAATTAATCTGTAATTTGCAATTCAAGTATATTTCTCTCTGATGCTCTCTTTTCTGATTCCCTTGCGTGAAATTTCGGGGCTTTTAGGTTACCTATGCGCTGATTTGGGCTTCTATATGGATACTCTGTTCTTCTTCTTCATCTTCTTCTCAAGCTGCTGCTGCTGTTGTAACCCACGACGACGACAACCCTTATGCGACACTAAGTAGTATTAATGATACGTCATCGATTGAGGCGGTGGAGAGGCCGCTGCCGCCGCCGATGAATGGATCGGAGACACCAGTACCACTAGATGAAGATGAAGATGATGTTGATGACGAGAATCACTGGTGGGTGGACCTGTTTTTCAGTGCGGGCGAAGTATTTTTCTTTGTTGCGTGGGGATCTGTTGTCGTTTGCACAATAGTTTGCATCCTGAAAATAGTCCATAAGGAATGTGGAAAGGGCGTTCCAGTGACTGTGTAGTCCACAGGGACCCGACCCTGAGAAACATCGTTGATTAAAAGCTGCGTCGTCTCTGTTTTGATTAACGAATAAATAATGTATCGTTTCAAACTCTTGTTATTGTTAATTGAGATGTGAAAGTGAGCTTCATAACAATATGGCTTTTTGACAACATTAACAATAGTGATTCTCTGTATTGAGTGCTTCTGCAGTAGTAGTAGTGATTCTCTGCAACAGTGAGATAATGACATTCCCGGCGTTTGAAACTTTCGAAGAAAACCAAGGGTGTCCCCAGAAGAACAAAGAGAGGAACAAGAAGAAGAGGATGAGGAAGAAGAAGAAGAAGAAGAAGAGGATATTCTTCAGTAATTTAGACCGACTACTAGTAACATCTTCTTCTTCTTCCTCAGCCTCCGCCTCCGCCTCACATTTCTTGCCAACCTCCCCTGCTTCCGCTTGTTCTGTTTTTGTCGGCGGCGGCGGCTCGGCTTCCTTCTTATTCTTGAAAAACTCGACGAGCCCGTCGATAGAAACTTGAGGGTCGTCGGATTTCATTAGCTGTTGAGCGACTTCCGCCGGCGTTACGGGAATCCCTCTCTGCATCCAATCCTCAACGCACTTGAACGAGGGATGCTCTTTAACCCCAAGATAGTTATCGGCCAGCAATCTGAACCCTTCAAACGAGCAGTAACCCATGTGGATGTGAACATCCATCCTCCCAGGCCGCAGCAGCGCCGGATCCAGCTTCTCCTTGTGGTTCGTCGTCAAGATTATGATCCTCTCGTCCCCGCAGGTCGACCACAATCCGTCAATGAAATTTAGCAGCCCCGATAACGTCACCTGTAATTAACCAATTATAAAAAGAAAGAAACAGAGCCGCGTCAGGGGAAGGGAAAGAAAAACAGAGTGTAAGAAAGAAACAGGGGAGGAACAGAGTACGCAAATTGAAAGGGGGAAAACAGAGTGTTAGAAAGAAACAGGGGAGGAACAGAGTACGCAAAAATTGAAGGAATTAATGGGCTTCCATTTCTTACATACCCCATCAGTGGAGCTCTTTTCGTCCTTCTTATGTTTAATCTTGATCTTCTGATCATCAATTTCCTCCTTGGAAAGCCTAATTTCGGTGCTCTTGCTGCTGCAATCCACGTCCTCGAGCAGCAGAATCGACCGATTCGTGGTCGCGGTGAGCACGTCTCGAAGATCGGAATCCGATTTCACGCTCTGAAGCTGGAGATCGTACACATTGTACTTGAGGTGATTGGCAATGGCGGCGACCAGGCTCGATTTCCCGGTCCCCGGCGGGCCGTAGAGAAGGTACCCGCGCTTCCAAGCCCGGCCGACGCTCCGGAAATAGTCCCTTCTCTGTACGAAGAGATTCAGGTCATCGATGAGATCCTGCTTCAGGGCAGGGTCCATAGCCAGAGTATCGAAGGTCGACGGGTGCTTGAAAACGGTGGCGTCCCACCCGCCGTCGCCCTTGCTGTAGGTGAAGATGCTGAGGCCGTCGCGCTCCTTCACGATCTCGTCGGCGACGCGGGAGACGTGTGGGAGGTACGTCTCCGTCACGAACTCGACGTCCTCCTTCTTGCATTTAAGCTGGTACCACCGGTTCTTGCGGCTGTTGAAGTACCCGCCGCCGCCGGAGTTCTCGGCCGCCGCCTCGTGGAGGGTCCACTCGACGCGCCGCCCTTGGAACTCGTCGACGATCGTCGACCCCACGGCGATGGCGGGCTCGACTGGCGCCAGGATGTTGTTGCTGTCGTTGTGGCCGACCATGAGGCTGCTCGTCGACGGGCCGATTTTGGTGGGGAGGTAGACGCCGACGGCGTGGAAGGTCGAGTTCTTGAAGCGCTGCCACCTGTCCTCCACGATGAACGTGAACTCGTCGGAGGGGGATATGTACCGGTGGACTCTGTCGGCGATGGAGCTGCGGATTTCTTGTGGGACGGTCTTGTTGTAGAACTCGCAGGTGGCCACGACGGCGGTGGAGACGGCGACGATGGTGGCTAAGTGGCGTCTGAATCTTTCGCCCATTGTTTCTCTTTTGCACTGTTTGTATTTGATTGTAACAAAGGCCGAGCCTGAGATGGAGACGGTGGCTGGCTTTGGTATATATAAAGCCAGCCATTTCTGGCTAAGTGGCGTCTGAATCTTTCGCCCATTTCCTTTTCCTTAACGGATTAGGATTGGGATTGTTTTCTCCTTCTCCGTTTAGGATTAGTAGTTACTAGTTACTAGTTGGACTTTGGCTATTCCTTTTCGGTTTAGGAGCCAATTGAGCAAAGTTTCCAATTTTTCAATGTTCTTTTATCAAACATTTTTGCACAAAAATATACTACATTTTTCTTGAATACATTAGCTTTCTAAATTTAAACTCCAACGCCCCAAAATTTTGTTACTTTTATTCATCCATGTCCGCAATATTTTCCCCTCCAATTCTTTATTCTTTCTTTTTCTTGATAAAAAAATTTTTTAGAGGAAAAATTTGGCTAGAAGATTCAAAAACTAAGCTATCGTTAGCTTGTGGAATTTGGGTCCCAAATTTTTGTTACAAATTTATTTTTGTAAGGGTATACAATTATAATACAAATTCATGGGTCCGAATATTAAATTTTTTACATCCATATCCGTGGACCCCACAAATTTGCAAATCACATATTTCATTTGAAGTTTGATTATGAAAAAAAAACTTATCAAAGATTGGGTCTAGCCTCTGAGAAGGAAGGTGCAATCTACCATATTGTCATTTCTAGTTGAGGGAGGGTCTATGAAGCTAGAGCTATGAACTTTATGTTGCGAATGAGCCGGTTTTGCAAGCTAATTGGTGTACTCCTTAATATATGTTAAAAAATTCACACAATGACATTTTTTTTATGGAACACACCATGACATTCAAGAGTGAGATTACTATCACACATAATTATAATTAACCGATTCATTCCAATAACACTACACAAACTCAAAGAAAGTAATTTCCCCCCTATAGTGATTTGGTAATGAGTAATGACAATTGACAAGCATAAGAAAGGAAGGAGAGAAATGATTGGTGTCTTGGTTAATAAAAAAAGAAGTTAAAGGGTGTGTTTAATAGATAAGGCAAAGTAGAGGGGTGTGTTTAGTAAATAACCATTTTAACTATGTGAATTCTGCACCACTATTTATTTAATTATTGTTAGAAAGTCTCCCGGCCAAGCAACAGTATCTTTCGCCGAGGGTTTCGCCCAGGAGGCTGAATTGCGACGGCGGAGGCGACTCGCCGGAGACTACAGCGGTAAGAATTACTCGCCTAATTTGTTGATTGTGTTCCCTGCTACCATTTTCCGTTTTCTGATTGCTTCCAGTTTCTCGTATTAGGTAGGATTGAGTGTAGTTGCTCTCTGTAGCTGCCTCCAGTAGAAACCGCCATGAACGCCGACAGCAGCAGCTCCGAGTTGGGGAAACCTGCAAAAGGTCGCATTGCAGAAGAAGAAGAAGAAGAAAATGACAGGTTAATCTCTCTTCCGGACGTCGTTCTTCATCGCATTCTCTCCTTGCTCGACACCAAATCCGTCGTTCAAACCTCCGTCCTGTCCCGATCGTGGAGGAAAACCTGGAAAGATGTTTCGGTGCTCAAATTTCGCAGCGATTCCTTCAAGCAGTACTCGAGCTTCCAGACCTACGTGGACAAGGTGCTGACCCTCCGCCATCCCGTCGGTCTCAGCGTGGTAGAGTACCTCGACCATGATGATTCGGAGGATCGAGATGGGGATCTGTTCGTCAAGGTCATCGATTATGCACGGACCCATGATGCTCAAGAGCTAGCTATTGACCTGTTCAATCCTGGCGCAATCCAAACCTGTTGCGTGTTTTCCCTTTTGTTTGACACGGTGGTGCCGGATTGCAAGCTCAAGAATCTGTCACTCGAATGTGTCGTCATCAACACCGAGCTCGCGTCTGCTGGGTTCCGAATGCTGAAAGAGTTATATATGAACACCTGCTTGATCGCCACGGGTGAGAGTGGGGACTTCGATCCCTTCTCTGGCCTCCCATGTCTAAAGTATTTGTTCATTATTCAGTGTGTGTTCATCTGTTTTCCCGAGGATGATGATGACTCCAGCAGGCAGCAGTTTCACGATCTCTGCACCCCAGTTGAATACCCTGAATATGGAGGTTGCTGTCTCTGCCAAGATCAACATATGTGCACCAAAGCTCCAGTTCTTCAACCTCCGTCACGACTTGGGATCCTTGAACTTGTCCAGCTTAAGCATACCATCCCTTGAGATTGCTCATATGGAGATCTAGGATAAGAAAAATTCGATGGAGGCTGACAAGGAGACCATGACGCGAAGTCTGATGTTCTTGTTCCAGGGTCTGAGTGCTGCACGAGCTATCGCGCTGGATTCCAGAACCATCCAGGTAATGAACTCTGTCTATATGGTTGGTACTGTCTTATGATGCAGGAACTGTTTATGTTGAGAAATATAGTGTGATGATCTGGTAAATTCACTGTCTTAAGATGGGTTTCCATGTTCTGGTATGTAGATATTGGGTAAAGTTGATTCGGCCTTCCTGGAGCAGCAGCCCTCCCCCTTCGCCAGGTTGGAGACCTTGCTTGTGGCGCGTGACACTGTGCCTTACCTACTGGTCGATTACTTTCTTAAAGGGTCCACTGATGAGAACCCAATTGTGAAGCCATATCTTGCTGTATAGGCCATAGTTTTCAGGGTGTTTTTCTTTCTTCCCGGGTCATTTTGGAAACAGGTATTTTGACTGTGATATGGTCTTTTGCATCCACTCCCAGTACCTTAAAGAAGTGTGTGCTCGTTTATGTTATGTACATTGTTCCACTCCAGAAACCTTGAGAGTTCCGTTCATGCAGTAGTACTTCTAACTTTGTGGTTATATAGTTATGTTCTCTTCTTCCTGAAGAGCCTGCACTTCTGCAATTTTGTGGACTTACGCGCTTGCCGAATGGATTATCTTACTTGCTTTTTACCCATTGGATTAGTCTTACAATCATCTCTACTGTTTCTTGATTCACATCTCTAGAAGATCTGACCTATTAGTACTCGTATTCTTCATCAAATCAGGAGATAACTGATAAACCGTAAAATGTTTGGAATAAACCAATATAGTTGACAAACAGGTAAGCATGAAGAGTTCATGGGCTAAAATGTTAGAACATATAAATCTGGTGACTCTTTTGGAAATACACGAAACAACAATTCTGCTGCCAAGGAAACAAGAAAAGCTTGGCAACCAAGTTATCTCAAAAGAAGGAGGAAGAGAGATAGAGAGAGAGAGTCGTGGCATTGGCAAGGATCCTTTGCTTCATCCAAAAGTCGAAGAACATGTTACTGTATGCCAGACATGGGTGTTTTTCCTTTAAGCTCAGCTTTGCTTGCAGACATTGTACTCCTGTTCATTGCCCGGCCGGCCATATTCAGATTCATTCCCTTCCGCACAAGCACAACTTGTGAAGGCTGGCTCTTTCCCCCCGGATCTGCGCATCTATCTCATCTCAATCGCACAAATCGAAGAACTAGCTGAGACCCTGCTTTATCGATGGAGAGGTTAGCTAAGCAGGGGAGGTAAGAAAGATGGAGAAAATGCATGCATTATGAAGAGCAACAATTTTTAGATCCAAAAGATGAGGTTTCTTTTATTTTCTTTTAGCTTTTTTACCTGCTATTTTTCGTACTTTGCTTGCTTCATCTTGCTAGGAGAGTTACATTCTCTGGGCCACCACAACACCAGCAAGACTATACATCACCATGGACACCACAATCCTTTGATGGGGGTAATGTGTTTTTTCAGATACGAAGCATTAAGAGTTTGTTAATTTATGTGTAGGCTTGCTGCAATATGTTGGTTCTGTAGATTCAGTTTTGTGATCCTTTTTCCTCTTTGCTGTAGATAATATGGTGGAGAGGAGTTGGTTCCAAAGGCAGGATGCTGATTATGATGAATATGACCTAAAGGAAATGGAGTATTCAGCTGCTGTTGCTGCCGCAGCATTCGCGATTTCTTCCTCGCTCGAAGAAGAAGAAGCTGGAGCAGCAGATTACAGAAGGAAGATGGAAGAAGATGAAAGGCGGAGGTCAATGGGAAGACCCAAGTCAATAATAAAAGAAGAAACCCCCATTTCAAGACTTGCTTCCTTCAGAAACTTGTCCATCAAGGAAGACAGAGATCCAGGTCAGTATATACTATATTCCCAAAAGAGAAAAATGTGGAGAAAATCTTACCTTTCAGATGATGTAGAGTAATTCTGACAAAACGGATCATGCATCAGGTGAATCTTCTGACAGGAGGGCGCGGCAGCAGCAGCAGCAGGAGAGAGGGTTCCCTGCCAGAAGGCCAAGCCTCTCTTCAGGTGGAGAAGATTCTTGGGAGAAGGCTCAGCTGAGGAAGATCAGCAAAAGGTGATCCTAACAAGTTCCACTGTTGTTCTAATCCTAATTATGGGGTTGATTCCCAATGACAAAATCTTATCATTTCTTTCAGGTACGAGAAGATGGAGGCAAAGATTGTTGGTTGGCAGGAGGCAAAGAAGATGCAGACTAAACTCAAAATGGAAAGAAAAAGGGTCTGTTTTGGTTTCCTGATATCTTCATTACATTTACACTTCTGAAACATTCACTACCTTGCACAATGTAAATGGATTAAGATGCTGATCTAGTCCAAACAATGGCCGAAACGAATGCAGAATGAGTTGGAAATGAGGAGGACAAGGAACATGCAGCATTACCAGGGCAAGATGGAGAGGATTGACATGATTGCCAATGGAGCGAAAGGGCAGCTGGAAGAGAAACGGAGGAAAGAAGAAGCTGAGGTGAAACACAAAGCCAGGCTCAACCTTCACTCCAAGGGCCGTTCGAAGAATTCTTGCTTCGGGTGGAACTAAAACACTCTCAGAATTTATCAAGTTACGCATATTGTTATGAGAAATTGGATAATTGACATTTGGAGAACCTGTAAACTTTGAATTGGAAACCTGTGTGTGCCGATTGTTTGCTGTAAAACAAGAATTTGTACAGATAACCACCTGAATGGACTAGTGATATTAACGAATTGCTGACAGAGTTTGGAGAGGGATTGATTCTGCGTTTCTATCATCAGTTGCTGCAGAAATCGCAAATCCTGTAAGCAAATGGTAAGAAAAGTAATAGTGAAAAAAAAAATCTATGGGGTGAGAGAGGCTCGAACTCTCGACCTCAGGATCACTCTTTGGCTATGAGACCTACGCGCTAACCAACTGCGCCACCACCCCTTGGTAAATTAATTTTCGCCAATGTCAATTTGTATGAAAAGGATCAATTACCAATTAGTTTAAACTTGTTATACGTATTGCACGAAATTTCAGTGTTGCAGTGTGGTAAATGGTAATTGCCCAAAAAAATAATATGTCGTTGGTTAGTTGGTCGATCTGGATCGTCGCATTCTTCTAATTCAATTACGTAATATGCGTCGAAACCAATATAACTTTTATATCACTAACCGTCGAAACACTAAATCTTTAACTTCACATTTTATATCGATATTGTCAATTCAAAATCTTGTTACAACCTCATCAGTCCACAACGATACATCCCGTTAAACACGAAAACTATATATCAACGACGATAATTCAAAGTATCAAACTCGTCCTCACTAATCATCGTTAGCATTTTGGTTTCCTCTGCCTGTTTTCGTCATTACACATCTGAGATTGATATTTCATCCCTGTCCTCTGTCCTTTTACATCAGCTCAAAACTCCATTTCCAACCGTTGGAATTTACTGTAAAGAAGAAAAAAATTTACCGTTATTTTTGTTTTTATTGTTTTCACTCCTTCCTTCCTTCCTTCTTCCTCGAGATCCCAAATGATTTCTCACACTCTTCTGCAATTTCGAGCAACAAGCCAAAGACCCTCACTTTCTCTCTCTCTCTCACTCTGTTTCTCTGCTCAGATTGCAGCAGAGCTCTTCATCAATGGCGGAGTACGAAATCCACGACACCAATCACCACCACCACCACCACGGCGGGATCCCGAAGGAGACGGCCTTCCAGGCGCTGAACACGATAATCCAGCTCCACTTCGAGAAGACCCTGGAGAAGAAGCGGGCAATCGACCTCCAGAAGAAGGAGCTCCACAAGTCCTTCCTCCTCTTCTTCATCTTCCTCTCCCTCGTCTTCTTCTCCCTCTCTTCATCCGGCCGACTCCAGTGCCGCCACTGCTGGGCTCCGATCACGCTGCTCTCCCTGGCCCACCTCATCTTCTACGTCGCCGTCGCCCAGACCCTGAGGTGCATCAACGGGTTCAAGTACCAGCGCCGCTGCCACAAGCTCACCCTCGCCCTCGCCACCGAGAAGCTCCGGGAGCTCAAGATCCGCAGCGGCGGCGGAGGGGTAGGAGGAGATTATGGGGGCGGGGAGATGTTGGTCGGCGACGAGGCCGAGCTGGAGATTCACTACCAGGAGCCGCCGGAGAGCTACTTCGGCAAGTTCAAGAGGAATTGGGCGCTGCATTTTGGGTTCTTGATTTTTATCTTTGGGTTTATGATTTCTTCTGCTGTTGTAATTCTCTGCTTTTGAGAAATTTTGTGTACCTACCCTGCCGCCGGCGATTAGAATTTAGATGTCTGGAAACATTGATGAGATTGGGAATTAATTGTGTAATGATTTTCTACTCTGTTAGGAGGAAAAATGATATTTTCCTTAAATCGAGAAAAAGAAGATGAGAATTAATAAGCTCAAGGTTCATAAGAATCATACTACAGACGAAGGAGAAACACGATAAGACAGGTTGAGAAGGAAGGGAAGGAGAAACTCCATCCAAGTCCAAAAAAGAACATCACTTGAGAAAAAGCTTTTCACCCCTTTTTACAGAGACAGTGCTCATTTTCACCTTTTTGCAGAATCAAGAGTTTGACCATGAAAGTAACAGCAAAAGAGCAATAAGTTAAGTTCTTATTCGTTAAAATCATCATGTGGTTGGTAAATGGTAACATCATCGACCTTCTGTTGAAGTAAATGCTACACTAACACAGCACCAGTACCAGTATTGAATACCAGTACTAAATAGATGTAACAATTTGTGTACAATGTTCAACTCTGATCAAAGAATGTCGCATATTGGTGGAGAATAGGTAGATGACCATTTCGAGCAATCATAAAGCTCGACCGTATTCGTAAATGAATGTCAGAAATATAGGACCTCTATTGAAACTGCTTCCTAGAAGCTTAGCTATCTGGGTAAACCTTGGAGGGAGCAAGCTTTTATCATAACCGCGAGCCAAGGCCAAAGGCAGAGACCCCAAGATTCTCAGGACAGAGCTGAACACAAGGATTTATATGCACTAACACATAGCTTGAACTTCTCAGCAGCCATGGCCTGGGACGAGCCTTGATGCCTGTCTGGATGCCATTTCAAGGCTGACTCACGAAACCTGCAAAACAAAGCACCAGAGAAGAAAACAATTTGGAGATCTGATCCAATGTGTCTCAAAGATGTGATTGTAAGGCCAAGGGCTTACGCGTTCTTCACTTCTTCGATCTCCAGAGGGCCGGACAAGGGCAAACCGAGGGTTCTTCTGTCGGAAAATGAACCCACGGCGATGGGTGACTCCCCATCAGACTCAGGTTCACTGGCATTGCCGCATTCTTGGCTTCTCCTCCATGTCCAGTGTGTAGACTCTGTGTTTGATCGTTGGGAAGCAAACCCTTGGTTGAAGGACCAAGTGTACCATTTGTTCCCGAATTTCGCTTGGAACATGGACTCAGGATCATCCGAGTCCTCGGGGAAGGTGTCTTTACGAAACTTGCCTGAGAGAGCATTGATGAAGCAAAGTTGAATAGCATATCAAACGCATGACCAAGAAAGATACTTGGAACAACTTTTGAAACTCTTCTACCATGAATGAACTAACCAACCAACCGAGTCCAATCAGAGAGCTACATGGATAAGGAATTGGGTCACTAAATGCTTACGCTTCATCCTGGCACTATGACCCCTCCTGCTTTTATGCTGACTTGAGGAGTTTGGATGTCTTTTCTTGTCAGCAGTATTCCTGTCTTCTGCACCAAAGTTCCATAATCGTTCTTCCTATGAACAAAGCCACAGCAATCATGATTGAAATCCAACGTAGCAAAGCACTAGTTTATGATTCAGGGCTGTTCCTCCTCTCAAACCAAGTTGATAAAGCACATGAAAGAACATGCTTTTGTTAAGATCAGAATTACCAATTACTAGGCTTGCTCCAATTTGACTGCCACTGGAAAGGTCACTCAAAACCAACTATTTTCAGAAGAAGAGTCTACTAAACAGTACTCACATAAGGTTTGCTAACATGAATGCATCTAAAGACTGGACAAAAAGGATCTCAGTTCTCCAACGAACTCTAGTAACTTGTCATTTACCACGGAATTGGTGAAACATTGAGGGGCAAATTCAACATAGGAATTGTTACCTGGCGTGGTGGTGAGGCTCCATTGCTGAAGAGGAGATGCTTCAAAGCCTTCTTTGTATCGGCACGTTTTTGTCGCACCGCGAATCTCACATGATCCTAGATAAATCATTCTCGTATTGTCAGATAACCTTCTCATAGCAATCAAAGAAAAAAAGCCCCTTTCAGAATGGCCCATCAGATCACTGAGCATAATAACTAAAGGACGAGTCTTTGCAAACGAGAATATCAAGTCGATTCTCATTTCCACCCCACAAGACATAACTATCCAACTATCCATATCTCCAGTCTCTTAACAATGGAGATAAACAATAATCAGGAAAGCAAAAACACAGAAGCTGCCTGCTACAACTATCTCACGGAAATGGATCAAAGGATTTCACAGAAACCAATTCCAACAAGTAACCAATTAATACAAGTTAAAACTCAGGAAATTGGAATTGCCAAAGAAGAACTCACAGTTTTGCCCTTGTTCTTCGACCGGTCGCAGGAAGTGGCCGTCGAATGAATCGATGCGACGGAGGGGGTGTTTAGATTCGATTGTGAAAAAGCTGGAACCAAGTTGTTCTTCAGGATGAACAGGTTTCGCCATCTGGGTACTTGCATAATCGAGGAAAGAACCCAGCTTTCTAAAAAAATAATTTAGGGTTCCAGCAGTTCCGCTGCAAGCAAGAATCTCCGCAACCGGCGGTTTGGCGGGGGGATGGGGGCTTTGGCGCGCGGCCGGCGACGGACATACAAAAAAAGGGGGCGGGTTTTGTTTGGGCCGGAATGACAGGTCGTTTTTAGCCTATGGGCTTTCTCAAAGAGGTCAAATTATTAATTTAGTACTCCAACTTTATGCCTTAGACAAGGTGGCCCTCCAACTTTGGTGGTCTGTTTCGTTCTTGTCATTGCATACTTACCTTTATAGGTCTGGTCCGTCTGGAACTGCACCAAATTAGTATACAATCAGATAAAAATGGAGAAAAAGGATAGGAGGATTGTAATTATATTAAAAAATATGTATTTGATGTGTGAACTGGATCGTTGCCTATTCCTGAAGTAACAATCTCCTTTTCTGATGGACTTAGAAGCTAACACTTGTACAAAGCCTATAGAAGAGCATATACATTGTGATGAAGACATAGCTTCCATGCTCAAATCCTGGTTTACCCTAGAGAACCTTGAAGAACAAACTAGCGCACCATTAGAGGCTGGATTCAAATCAGAGAGTGAAACTAAGACCATCTGATCTCGCTTTAACTCCAATTCCGTACTTTTGCTTTATAACTTAGAGAGTGTGTCAAACCATCATTTATCCTCAGCAATGTCTGAACTAGCTGGAACCTGATCCTGCACGAGCTTCACGTTCTTGACGCCGTTGTTCTCTCTGATGAAAACAGCTTTAGACTATGAACAACTGGTCTGTCTTTTAGCATTAACCAAGAGAGAAAGAACTTTCTGTCAGCAAAAGGAGAGGCAGGGAATTCAAGTTTACCCTTCTTTCCCAATAAGGGTGGAAGCACACGAAATCATAGACAGGGGTAATGGTTGAAACCAAGACCACATTGAGTCCTGTGAACACCAGCAATGCTGCCATGGGTCGCGTGCGATGTGGCATGTTTATTCACTTGCTTCTGCTAGACTCTCTGTGTCTGCAATATGTTCCGAAAAGCGAATTTGAGTCTCAAAAGTCTCAGAAACACAGGATTTGAAACAAGGCATGACAGAAACTTCTATGTACATAAAAAGCCACAATAACCTGAAGCAGGCCATCATACCAAATCTACGCACAAGCTTTGTAACCAAATTCAAAGCACTCTCAACTGAATTCTCAGGTTCCATTCCCATTGCAATTCTAAAATCTAAACATATACTCATGGACCCCTAATTAACCTCCCAACTCATTCAGGCATCTGATGAACCTTCAATTTCAGCTCAAGAAGTCAGAAACCTAAGTTCTGATGATCATGTTCTCAATCAATACATCCCCGAGCTTCGATAAGATAAATCTACTCATTCCTAGCATTCCACTTCCGAGCAAATATCACATACAAACCAAGCTTGGGGGCTAAACCAACAGGAGTCAAACAAAGTTCATAAATTTCTTTATCATTCCCTAAAGAGTGAAATCTTATCGAACAATCAAATCAAAGCTATGGCCTTTTCACTCATGCAAGCAGAACACACCACAACCATGTCTCTAATAATGAGCAAACTACAAACCCACTTCCTAAAGTTCAAAAATTTCCTCATAAAGAGCAGAACCCATGTAACCTAATCACAAATTCCTCTCCTCATCCAGTGCAAACATTTTTGCTCAGTAGTTCATTCAATAAAATCCTCTTTCCGAAAAGAAAAGGCTTTCAGATTCAAATTAAATAGAGAAGGAATCGAATGCTTTCAGTACCTATTTCAACCCCGAAAAGCAACGACTTCCTCGAGCAGCTTCCCCTCTTCAGTAACGACCGCCGGCGGTAATTAGACGAGGGAACTGAGAGATCAAAGAAGAAGCAAAGACGGAGGAAGGAGAGCAGTTCTCCCAGTATGGGCTCGGTAGTTATTAAAATAATGGATTGGGCTTCATGGCCCAAATGATTTATTGGGCTTCCTGGAGATATAAAAGCCCACGTTCAATCTCAGTGGCACTACGAAAGAAACGCCGGTTAGCTCCATTTTACCAGCGCGAACTCCAAAACCCGCTTTAAACCCCCAAAAATAATTCCGCCGCCGTCTCCGTTATCTTCCTCCTCCTCCTCCTTCCGCCGGCGACTGCGGGGAAGCTCGCCAACGCACGCCTCGGCCACAGATTTGACCCGTAAGTTTTGACCTCTTTCTTCTTTCGGTATCTTTCTCCCTAGGGATATTTCTAGCACGAAGAAATGAAACGGGGGAACTCGAGATATAGCGTTTGAACTCAAGCACTGTAAATTTCCTGCGCAAGCTCGACAATGGAGTTTATCTGTTCTGTGAGCTTATAACTTGTAGGTGCTCTCTAGGTTCTAAGTGTTTGAATGAAACGATTTTCTATTTTCAGAAGGGTGTGAAGGAGATTCAACTTTGGGTTTGGAATGAACTGCTTGTCTAGGTTATCTGCATACTCCGCAACCATCTTTGGAAGGTCGACCAGCCATTTCATTGTCAAGGGCACCTGGAATCAGTGTTCAAGCCCCATTTGGAAACACAGCTTTGAGCTTAGTTCTGTTAGAACTGGGAACCCGAAACTCGTCTTTCCCAAGTTCGCCACCCGGTGCTACTCATCCGAGAAGCCCAAATCGAAAACTCCGCGGAAAAGAAAGTCGTTAGAGCAGAAAGAAACAGATATGGAGAAAGATTCTTTCTTTGTGGTGAGGAAGGGGGATGTTGTTGGTGTGTACAAGACTTTTAATGAGTGTCAGGCTCAAGTTGGATCTTCAGTAAGTCTTATAGCTTCTCTTCTCTAGATATCGATCAGAGTTTGGACTTTGGAGCATTGTTTTGAATTTCTGATTTTTTTTTTTGGGATAGATATGTGACCCTCCTGTGAGCATTTACAAAGGGGAATCGTTACCGGATGAAACCAAAGAGTACCTTGCAACTTGTGGGCTTCAGAATGCTATATACACTATTCGAGCTCAAGATTTGAAGCCTGACCTCTTTGGCACTCTTGTACCTTGGCCATTTCAGGTGAGTTAGATAATCTTGGGACCCTTGGTTGTTCATCATGTGAACATGTTAGCCTATAGGTCTTGAAGCTGGACTTATATCAGATTTTGACTATTCTGCAATTAACAGCAACCTGATCATTCCACGGAACAAATTGATGCCCGGGATGACAAAAAGAGAACCCTAGATATGATGATACCACAACCAGCGGTAAGTTTGTGGCATCTTTAAGATTGTAAACTCTTCAGCTTGCTTTCAGTGGTCAACCCTTCTCTGTCTGTGCTTTCTCTCTAGATGCATTGCTGATGTTTGGCAGGAAGCAGGTGGAACAACCACATTGAGTATAGCTGATCCCTCAAAGAAGGCTGTCCGATTGGATTATCAAATGGCTACTCCACTACGTTCTCTTGGTTATGACCCGGTAAGTGGTTATGTAGAAAAGATGTATGATCATGTATAAATTATTCCTTCTGCTTTCTTTGTATATGCTCTCATGAAGTTAGGTTGTGGATGCTTATTTTATGTAACTTAGTACATAAAACTTACTCAATCTTATGATCTACAGGAATTTTGTACCCTCGCGTTTGATGGTGCTTCAAGAGGAAACCCTGGACCTGCAGGAGCCGGAGCTGTTCTACGGACAAGTGATGGAACTTTGGTGTGCATTGATTTCCAAGCATCTATAACATTTTTCTTCTTGATGTTTCCATATATCTGAAACTTCAGGTTTTGTGTAGATCTGCCGGTTGCAAGAAGGATTAGGCAACAAGACTAATAATGTGGCTGAGTATAGAGCTGTACTTCTTGGAATGAAATATGCTCTCCAGAGGGGCTATCGAAAAATACGCATACAAGGCGACTCCAAGCTCGTGTGCTCTCAGGTTTGGCTCTTCTTTTCTCCCTTTCCAGTTGCATTTTTGGGTTTAAAATGCCCAATAGATCACTGAAATATGATGTTTGTAACATAATGGTCAGTTGGTCACCAAACTACCTAAAATTCTTAACAACATTAACTAAACTAAACGGGTTGTAACAAAACAGTCAATCTTATCTCATTATGTCAAATAAGCTTGCACTGTTTGTCACCAAAATGTTCCAATCAGTCACTCTGTTCGGGTTCTAGCTTTTCCTCGCGAGTTGAGAGTAGATTTTGTGCATTTGGGGTCAAGTTAGAAAGAGCTGGGTTGAGTTCATGGGCGTGTACTGTCGACTGGTTGGTTTTTGTCGACATGACAGCTCTGTTGGCATGTTCACTCAACCAATACCAGATTATATATCGTGATTGGTTTGCTACCAATGGCTTAGTTTCGGTAGCATTATGATATGCTTTATGTACTTCATCGACCGTTTGGCTACGAAACTCTTAAATTCAGCAATCTCAGAGGCATATAATCCTTGCATTTCTTTTCACAGATGGTGAAAATAACCGTATCTCGAAACCTTTTATGTCACAGGTTGATGGTACATGGAAGGTCAAGCATGCTGGCATGGCCGAATTATGCGATAAGGTCAAAGAGCTTAAGGACAGATTCGTCTCATTCGAGATTAACCATGTTCTGAGGGTAAGACCAATTCAATAACATGATGATACATTACCAAACCCATGTTTCATCTCATATTCGTTGACTGCCTTTTCTTTCCAGGAATTCAACGCGGAAGCTGATGTTCAGGCGAATCTTGCTGTCAATCTTCGTGGTGAGAAAACCCTTCATCTCATTTAAGCTTTTGCTCGTCCTGGCTATTCAACGAACCGAGATTTATTAACAGTCTGCTGATTTTTCTGTTTCTTGCTTCAGAGGGAGCAGTTCAGGAGGTTTACGAATAGCAGCATAGCTACGTACACATAAAGCTTGTTTCTTTTCTACCTGGTTTTCTCTCTTACCTGCCATTATCCGAGCGACTGAAATAGTCAAAGATATTCGACATTCCTGATGGGTAGAGAGGCTTCACATTCAGCACAGGAGATGTCGAAAGAGGCCAGTTTTTGCAATGTGATTTCCAGTGCCCATGCAGGTTTGAACAACTTATTATAAACTCTCAGAAGATGGACTATATACCTTTTGATGCTTGCATAGCCATTTTGGATACCATCGAACTTGCCATATTTTTTTCAAACCTATAGAAAGTAAAATCCAGCTAACTTTTCATCAAACCCCTACTAGGATGATGATATGCTAAAAGGACTAGGGTGGCTGCAGGCACTAATTCGTTCCATTGATTTTTTCGAAACATTGAAGGATACTAAGCTTTTTTGCGACGGACATATCAAAACATTACCTAAGCTTTGATAATGGCCATAATTACCTCATATGATCTCTTATACCGTCTTTGAAAAAGATCGTCATACTAGGCCTTGTAAGGGAAATGAGTAAAAAGATGCATATTTGGATCTCTCTTGACAACTAAAGGTATCATAATGAATCGGTTCTCGACGTGATTTCAGAGCTTTGGATCAAGAGGTATATGTTCGAATTTTCGATTGATATTCAACAATTAGTTTGAATTTGCTGGACACAAACTTACTCCGTCCAAAGTGCTTATGACGGAACATGGCCAAATTGTTGTCGCGATTCGGTTACTATGGATTGCGGGTCATGGATGGCTGGTTTAGCATACAATCTGGGAGTCATGAAGTCGGCTGAGTTATTGTAGGTTGTGAGTTATAAATTGGTGATGGTGCATACAACTTGAAAGATCTGTGTCTGAAGAGGAGCCATTCACACCAATATGGTCATGTAAGGTCGGTCAATCAAGGAACCATGCGATCTAAATAATTTTTTTATCAAATACATGTCAGCAGAAACATGTGCAATTGTCTCTTGTCTCGTACGAGGTCGTATTACCCAACCGAATATCGATCGAATGGATTGGATTGAACCAAAACTAATATGTACAACTTGGAATTGTCATCCCAATGTATGATTACTCACAACTCACAAGACGATGATTAACACCACCTAATCAAACAAAGATTAGGGCATCCATCCACAACCTATATTTAGAATATTCATAGAATCAAAAGTGATTACAGGGTGGATACACTCATACACATGAAACCATAATTTTACCCGCAAAAGAAATAAATGGGAAAACTGAAAGGATTGTTTGTGGCCATTAATATAATCTTATTTACATCAATACCATAATAAGTTGTCAGCATGTCTGTCTCTCTCTCTGTCCCATAACCCCCCTTCCACTCCCTCATTAGTTTAATTTCAACTGATATCCCCCAAACTTAATTACCATTTTTTCCCCTATGTAACAAAACTAAGGAGTTGTTTGTTTGGGGTGCAAGAATAAAATGAAATAGGTGTGTTATAATGGAGCACGTGGCCGACAAAAAAAAAAGAGAGAGAAATAAACGACATACTGTTCACCATCGCAACGTGTAATAGTTAAGTTCGGCTAATTAACAAATTCAACGCATTCCAACATAGTGATTCATTAAAGTGGGAAAAAAATCACAGAAATCCAATGAACCGGTCGGGAAATCGAGTAGGGTTAGGACTTGTTTGGCTTGAATTCCTTGGGTGGTGGACACTGCAGGTGGCATAGGTTAGGTGTCTGAACAAGAGATCTCTCCTACGCGGGAACTAGACTTACAATCGTTTCATATCATAGAATTTAAAATATTTTTAACTTCGATTGCATTAAAACACGAGAAACAATCGGATGAATCAAGCCTTATCACGAGACTCAAACCGGATTCAGTTTCAACCTAGTTTTGATAAGATCTCTCTCACTCTTATGTTTGATCGGTTCATACCTGAGTTCAAGACCAGACCAAATCGTTATCTTATCCAACCCTCACACGACAAGTCAAGATCACCGATTATTCGACGATGGCCCCCCATGATTACCCTCATTCCAAGTTCCAACTCATCCAAACAAACAAGCCCTAACTAAATTATTTATCAACAAAACCTCCTTACCCCCGAACCCATGTGTGAGTTATATAAATAGAGGTAGGATACAAAAATGAGGCACCAACACAAAATAAATTTTTTTCCCAAAGAGAGTCCCTCTCCCCCCAAAAACCCTCCCAATTAATTTTAGCTCCTCGATAGTAACCATGGGAGCGTGCGCCACCAAGCCAAAGGTCACCAAAGACGACCAGCTCCTCCCGGCGCCGGCGCCTGAAGAACCCACGAAACCGGCGGCGGATCCTTGCCAGGTGGAGGAGCCCAAGAAGCTAGAGGAGCCAGCCTCCGCCACGGTGGAGGAGAAGGAAGTCGTGGTCGTCGCACAGAAGAAAGACGTCGTGGAGATAAAAACAGAGGAGGAGGTTAAAACAGAGGAGGCGGCGGCGGCTAAAACAGAGGAGGGGAAGGAGAATATTACCGTGGACGATGAGAGCGCCAGTAGACGATCTCTTGGTCACCTTCTTAAAGAGGTAACTTTTTTTTTCACACCATAAGATCATAAAATTTTCTTTGTTTAACTATCTTTTCTTATCAATTTAATAGTGGTAGATTAGTAGAAAATAGGTTGAGATTAATTTTCACACGGTAGAACCATCGTGAGAGACCGGTAGATACGATGTTCAAACAACTAATCTAAATTTGAGAATGATAGGAAAACACTATAAAATCAACTAATGAAATAAAGAGAAATCCGTTTGTTTCGTGTCACAAGATGAATTGTTGTATACATATTCATAGATGGATTCTTCCTGATCAATTTTTCATCTAAATTTTATATTTATGGGACATACCTTAAAGTTTGGAGCTAAAGTTTGGACCAGGTTAACATCACAACAATGAAGTTCCTTACAATTTTAATTCAAAAGAAATGGTAATAATTAGTATTCATGATGAGTAATTACTATTTAGGTACTTTTTTATAATCTTTTTTTCTTAATGCAATTTGTTTCATGTGCTAATCCGGCTGGATTAGTGGATGTGGGCTCCTCCTTTTGCACCAACTTAATCTAGGAAATATTTAAAAAAAAAAAAAGAGAGAAAATTATAAGATAATAGAAAGAAGGGAAAGTGGTAGATGAATATACAACTGTGTGTACAGGCTGTTTGGGATGTCTTTTTGCTTGTCTAACGCTTTGGATTTATGGTGACCATTTGTTTTCCCATTTCTTACCATGCCCCAAATACTTGATATATTGATTTGATGTTTTTATGTAGATTATCATACAAGAATTTAATTTAATTAATATGTAAAAAAGTACAGCAATAATCATGTTAATAAAATCTCGATACGGTTGACCTAGCTAGTAGTGAATAGTGATATATACAATAAGAGTTCATCATATTCTGAATTCATACCTTGGAACGTAAGGAGTTTTTTTTATAACTATTATGTTGACAATACTATTGTTATTAGAGCTATCGTATTACGTTCAGGTGTATTGGTTGATTATTTGCACGAGTACGTCGAATATTCAAAGGAATGATCAATATCTGTCACGCTTTAGGTCGAAAGCTTAGTATGCTATGTTTAATGCAATGTGTAGTAGGCTATCATATATCATATTCAATTTCTTTTCTATGCGACAATTACTTGACAAGCAAACATGTGGTGTTTTTTTAGGATTCTCAAATTTGGATAAGGACCTCACATAACCCCATTATAGTTTATGGGTCCTCCATTGTCGTCCTCATCCATTAACTTTCCATAATGCAACTTGGAAATCGAGATCCCCACAATAAAAACTGCCATGCATAACATGCACTTGTCTATGTCTTTATTGAGAAATTTGAAATTTTTTGATTAGATATTGTGGATGGTGTGGCTGTTGCTCGCCTCGTGACTCGATGTCTGATTTCAATTTATGAGAATGAAAAACACTTTATAACTAATAATCGTTTGCATATTTTGTTACATTAGTTACGAGTTGTGAAAAAAACGATTGCGTTATTCGATATTGTATACTCGGAGTTTCTACTAGTTTTGGTTGGATGGGTTGATGAACTTTTTGAAACTTTATGTTGCATGATAAATAAATAAAAAAACAGAACACAGAAGGAAAAGAGATTGTTGTAGAAGAAAGCAACGAAAAGCCTCGAGTATCAGCAGAAGCAAAAGTAGAGGAGGCAGTGGTACTTGAAAAAGTGACACAACCACCGCCACCGCCAGAAGCAGAAGCAGCGGCTGAAGATTGCAAAGAGGCAGAGGCCAAGGCAGAAGTAAAAGCTGATGAAGAAGTAAAAGAAGAAGTAGAAGAAAAAGAAGAAGAAGAGAAGAAACCAGTAGTGACTGTGGTTGAGTCAACAATTAAACTAGAGCAATCTGCTGCTACTGAAGAGCCATCTCCAGAAGAGAAGAAAGCAGAGGAAGAGAAGGCAGTTGTTGTTGCTGAGAAGGTAGAAGTTCCTGTCGTGGAAGCTAAGAAGGAGGCAGAGGAGGATGCAGAGCCCGTTGAAGTAGTTAAGGAAGCTGTTGTAAATTAAAATGATGGTTATTATTATACAAGCCGTGGTATGATATTTTGGATTTTGGAACAGTTTCTTTTCTTTCTCTTGTGGATAAGTTTTTGGGGGGTTCTTGGGATATTTGGCTGTGTTCTTTTGATTGAATTGGTTGATGAAGATGCCACATTTTGATGGAGGGTAAAGGAGGAGTTTGATTGTGTGTGTCTGTTATGTGGGGTGGAAGTTTGTACAAATATATATGTGTCATGTCTTCTATTCTATCCAATTTTTATGTGTTGATATTGGATTTTTTTATGAGGACCACTTGGTTACATGCCATGTGTAGACCAAACCTTTTTGTAATTGTCGTTACAAAGTGCGAACGACGGGAAAGAGACAATATTTGAGCATAAACTCGAATATATCTCACTATTGAGTCCATACTGTTATCTTGATATTGCTGAAATACAACTTGGTAAGCATAACCATGTCAATCCCGAGATCGATTCTTAGACGGTGTTGAAAAACATAGGCTTCGCATTGTTCCTCTTCCACACAAAGTAGTCTTAACTCTTACGCTCAATGAATTGAAGCAATGTTATTTAGTTATTTCGTGTTTTCTTTTGGAAAAATGAAATATTCTATGAACAATGAATTGTTTTTCTTTCTTTCTTTCTTACAACTTATAGAGGTCATGGAAAGAACTGATTACAAGCACTACTAAGCAGGAGTGGTAGTAGCATCGTCGTTTGCTTGATTATGGGTGACAATTGTAACAACTCGTTTAACCTCCGATGAGCAGTCTTGATCTTCCACTTTTGGGATGCTCTTCTTCTCATCAATCTCCATCTCCATCTTCACCATCTTCTCCATCTTCTCTTCTTTTATTTTTGCCCATAAAACACTATAGAGCCCTCCAGACAACAACACTCCCCCCAAAATACTATGGAACGTTATAGAAGCCACCAAAACAAACAAATTAGAATAACTAATAGAGCTAAAATATGATTTCGCCTAAGCACCCTGGTGTTCGCGACCTGCCTAACGCCTAGACACGTCTAGACGAGTGCCTAATATCGTCTTTTCGAACCCTAACTATGATTACTACAAAAGCATGATACATATATCTGGGTATGTACCTTCCAATGTTGATGAAGTCACACGAAACTGCAGAGCATATCGTTGTGAAGATGAAAGCCAAAGGAGTGGAGAGGGCAACAAAGACTGGACCTTTCTTCTCTATAACCCATGCTTGCAAGTAATAGCTTACCCCAGTCACCATAACTCCCTAAGTACACATATACAACAACTTCATTAAAGGCTATTTTCCTTGTAGTCAAGGAGGAGGTAAACAAATAAAAAAGGTTGTACAAGTTTTTTCCTTACACAATAAACCACGGCTACAAGTTTCATATCCCAGCCAAGTTTCCACTCATTGAAATCTCTTTCCATGGTAATTGCAATGGCAAATGACTGAATCGAGCCCGAAGCACATTGAATAGCCGTGAATAGAAGCTTTGGTGGATAACTCTTCTGAAGTCTTGCCTATGAAAAAAAAAGGTGTATTATGCATAGATAACATTTTCTATATGGAACCCAAGAAGTGCGCGTATGAGATATATATACATCTTTTTTTTTACCGATCTTGGTCGTGTATGTAACCTTTTTCCTTTTCAGATTGGATTAGGGTTGGATCTTCTAGAGAATGTGTGATATATATCTTCTAATATTTGTTCTCTAATTTGTATCTTCTCAAGTATATATAGTAAAACTGGTATCTCCACCTCATGGATTAGCTAACACATAGTGTTAGCAAACAACGTAAATCTCTGGAATCTCTACTCTTTTCCATTCTCGATTCCCAGATTCGTTACAACAAAGTATGTTGCACCCCTCGATTTACCCCTAGTACCATAAGCAGATGTTCGAAATGATTCAACGAGAAAAAAAGTATATGATACCTGAAAAATAAGCCAATAGCCCCAAGTGAAGTCAGACGAGAGCATCAAGGCACAACCTTTGATCCACGTTTTGTAAGACTGTCTGCTCTCCCTTTGCCCTAAACCATGTTTGAAGAGGCAGAGGACCTTGAAATGGGGGCCTTCATACAAAGCTAGGGCTGCTACTCCGCCTGTGCATATCACTATCCCTAACAATTTTGCCTTGCCTGATTTACTCCCAATCCTCAATGTTTCCGCTCTGTGTTTGGCCATAGATATAGACCTAATCAATCACATTATCACGTCTATGGTACACCCTCGATTTTAAATGAGTCATAGACGTGGTTTGATGGCATAGATATCATCAGTTTTTTTTTTTTTTGTTAGTGTTTAGGTTTTGTATGTTACCGAAACAGAAGGGCCAAGAAGAAAGTAGTGACCGGAAGGGTATTCATTGTCGCCGCGGCTAACGTGGCAGAGGTGTACAGCAAGCCGAAGCCACTGAGGTTCAACGACGCGGTTATCCTGCACATGTGTACATCCATGTTGAGTATGTGAAAGATTTAAACTCCGACTTTTTATTGAGAGTTTAGGAATATAAGATATTATCTAAGTTATTTATCAACAATTCGAGTTATTAGTATGTTTTACATGTGCACTAACATAATGTATGTTACTTTGAACACAAAATAGAGTAAAGGAAACTAGTGGCGGAGATCAACATTTACCCGATGAGAGCAAGCACGAAAATCTTGCAGAAGGTCAGCAGCGAGAGCGGAGGTGCATGCTTCCTGTAATTCCATCATATGACCATGCATAAAGAAAATTAAATCAAGAGGTGAATCAAGATTCTTTTAATAGTTCGAGTTACCGAGATCCAGTTGGTTCCATCAAAGACTTTCGATTGAAAGGTTGGGGCATTGTTCGAAACTTCGTAACATTCGTTATCAATTAGTTACAATTGATGTAATTACATGGCCGGTGTGGATACGATGAACTTCTCGAGTTGGTTTTCACTTGATCACGGAGGGTAATTAAATACGAACAAGAGAATATTAATTAAAAGATTTTTATTGAGTTGTGTCGAACAACTTGAATTATCGAGACAATACTATACGACTTTTCAATAAATTAAGCACATCAAGTATATATATATATATACACGCACCATTCGAGGAAGATGGCAGGAGGAGCGAGGATGAGGGTGGCGAAGGCTTGCCGGTAGAAGACCAAAACGGCAGGGTTCAAGCCGCCGTCGAACGCCGCCTTCGACACCAAGAACATTCCGGCGTAGATCAGCCGTATCAACACCACGGCTCCATACGCCTTGGTCGTGTCGTCGTTGCACCACGCCGAAAACGATGCCGTCTTTGAAGCTCCTCCTCTCTCTTCTCCAACCATATCCACCTGCGTAAGACTGTACTCAGTCTCTCACTCTCTAGTATTAGTTTGTTTTTGGGTTGAAATGGTGGCTATGATGATATATATTTTTGGTCGTCGATATGTTTGAGAAGACGGGTTGTTGAAGCTTCCGTCTATTTTTTCATGTGTTGATGACGACTTATCGATGACCGGGGAGATATATGGGTTTTCCTTTTGTTTGTACGTAGTTCATGGTACCATTTTGCCGCTTTCTAAATGTTTGATTTTTTTGGCAGACGCTTTCTGGTTTGATTCCTTATGTATGTGTTGGAAGCTGCGGGCGGTGGTATCAAAGAGGGATATATGGTTGGCAGGCAATAGTAGCTTGGGGGGAGGGAAGAGACTGTATGTGATGTGATACGAGAGTCGGTTCGCGACTCTATTTCTTTCACGTAAGCTGTACTACCATCCAAGTTTGAGGAAGGAAGTTGTGGAACAATCTAGAAGAGTAGAATTAATGATGCTGGCTGGGTAGTTAATTCATGGAACTTCTTCGTATTTCCTAGTTACTCATTAGATTGGTGGATTGGTGGATTGTTGGCAAATTATAATTCATTCACTAAAATATCCAATCAATCCAATCTATTTGATTTAAATCCAATTGGATTGGTGGATTAATGGATTGTTTGCAAATTATGATTTAGTACATGTACTTTTTATACTTTACAATTTGGTTCATAAAATTTATTTTAACTTAAATATCATTGGAAAATTATGTTTTGGTACCAAAAAATTTTATCATGACATTTTAGATTCTAAACTTTTTTGAAATTTACACGTTAGTACAATGTTTAGATGCAATTTGGATCTATGATCCAATCCACCAGTCAATTTGCCATCTCTACTTAAGACCCTCCTTTGTCCGACTTGTTTTGAACAGGGATGACAATTTCGACCTAACCCATTTTACCCGACTTGTTTGGCCTGTTTTGGGGCGGGTCCGAGCATGGGTACCTCTCGTCGACTCGACCTGCCCTGACCCGCCCCGTCCTCGACCCATTCTAGCCTAAATTACATGTAATCTTAGTCAAATTACTTAGAATTTTCATCATATTACCTCATATTTTAGCTATAATAAAGCTGTAAATAAATGAACACCTCAATTGCTCCTATACTTTAACTACATTTTATCATATTATGGCTTATTTCTTGGTCTTGTAATGAAAATAATGAATATTTTTAAAGTTTTTCACACAAATTACATACTCATTGGGTCGACCTTCCCCGACCCGCGCCCCATGATAAATTACCCGACCTAAACCCGACCTGGCACGAAGCGGGTACGGGTATCGAGATACTCGATCCGAACCTGCCCATTGCCATTCCTAGTTTTGAACTCATTGGCACTTCTAATACCATGGCAAGGACTATTCCAATTTGCATTTGAGAGATACCGCCATATATAGATATAAAGAAATCATTACTATAGTAAGTAGTGATGCTAGCTAATGCTTGTTAGCATTCGCTAGATTATTAGTGCTGATTGTAACAACTTGTTTAAGCTCTAATGTGCAGTCTTGTACTTCCACTTGTGGGGTAACCTTCTTCTCATGATCCTCGATCTCGTTCTCTTCTTTGACTTTTGCCCATAAAACACTATGGAGCCCTCCAACCAATAGCATTCCACCCAAAACGCTACAATTGCAGCCAACAAACAAAACTAGATCAACTAAAAAAATCATAATTAGTAAACTATGATTATCAATTTGAGTATGATACATAGCTATAAGTACCTTCCAAGGTTGATGAAGTCACACAATAGTGTAGAGCATATCGTTGTGAAGATGAAAGCCAAAGGGGTAGACATGGCCAAAAACACTGGACCTTTCTTCTCTAGAACCCATGCTTGGAAGTAATATGTTACCCCACTCACCATACCTCCCTAAATACACATACATTGCAAATTAATCAATCAAAAATTAATCTTGAAACTAAGCAAAAACCCCATGATGTGACAAAAGGTTATATATAAAAAAGATTAGTAAAACTACAGAAGACAAATTGCAGGTCAGTTAGATCGATTACATACACAATAAACCACGGAGACAAGCTTCACATCCCAGCCAAGTTTCCACTCATTAAGATCTCCTTCAATCGTAATTGCAACCACAAATGACTGGATTGTGGCCAGAGCAGATTGAAGAGTCGTGAACAAAAGCTTTGGTGGATAACTCTTCTGAAGTCTTGTCTATATAAAAAAAAGGAAAGTAATTAGTTAGGTATCGGTTGAGAATGATACGAGTATGTGCAGACTTTATATTCGATACGGTTTATAGTTTTGGTACTTGAAACACAAGCCAATAGCCCCAAGCGAAACTAGACGAGAGTGTCAAGAAACTGCCTTTGATCCATGATGTATGAGATTTATGGTATTCGCTTTGCCAGAAGGAGTGTTTGAAGAGGCAGAACATCTTGAAATGGGGGCCTTCGTAGAAGGCAAGAGTTGCCACCCCACCCATGCATATTACTAACCCTAGCAATTTCACTTTGCCTGATGTGGTCCCGACCCTCAATGTTTCCACTCTGTGTCAACCATACATCGATTCACATCATAAATACATACAATCGCAGTACACATAATGCAACCCGATTATAGATCTCACAACCCATGTATGAGAATGTGCTCACAAGTACGAAAGGTCATCAGATCGCGCATGGGAATACTCTGCGGTCGTTGGATGGACACAAAATACCATCATGTCTATCTAATGGTCGTGACACTTTCATGCACGATCTGATTGCTCCACGTGTTAGTGAGCACATTCTCACAAATGGGCAGATATGTATATACTATTCTCGAACGGTCGGGGAGCAATATGGCATTAACTTTTAAGTACCGAAGCAGGAGGGCCAACAGGAAAGTAGTGACGGGGAGGGAATTGAGGGAAGCCGCGGCCAAGGTGGAAGAGGTGTAAAGCAAGCCAAAACCATTAAGATTCAATGCCAACGTTATCCTGCAAAATATGTTCAAGATAATATATAGTTAGTATTGGTTTTGACAATCCTTTGTACATCAAACTCAACATAAGATTTTTTTTTTCCCATCAAATTTTGTGAGTCTCGTAATCTTTATGGTATGATGGCTAGTATGCGAAAACTTGCGTTTGACAGGACGTGTAAGAGATTGAACGGTATAATTTTTTATCTTGAAAATCTCACAAACGAAGTCTGTTCTATTTGGTACCAACAGGAAAAGTTTATTTACACCGAAACTAAAAACGGACTAACTATTCAAATTACCCGACGAGGGCAAGCACGAAAATCTCGCAAAAGGTGAGCAGCGACAACTTCGGTGCATCCTTCCTGTAATTCATCATAACCATGCATAAAGAGAACAAATCAAGGGGCAAATGATAATTTTTCTATTACCTTTATTTGAAGAAAAAAAAGTTATGTAAGAGAACGTGATAACATTTATTGTTGACCTGTTTCAAACAACTTTTAAGTTATGGACATGAATTTGGTTATCGTGAATAAACTGAATATACGTGGACTACGTAATTGCCTAATATGCATGCATGGGTAAGCCAACTAATACGTACCATTCGAGGGAAACGGCAAGCGGAGCAAGGCAGAGGGTGGCGAAGGCTTGCCGGTAGAAGACGAAGATCGCCGGGTTCAAGCCGCCGTCGAACGCCGCCTTTTGTACCAAGAACATTCCGGCGTAGATCAGCCGTGTCAGCACCACGGCTCCATACGCCTTCTTGTCATCGTTGACATTGCACCACGCCCAAAACGACGCCGCCGAAGCTCGTCCTCCCCTTTCTTCTTCTACTTCTCCACCCATATCATTTACGACTATGATGGAAGTCGTAGTTTTCTTTCACTTTCACTCTGTCTTTCTCTGTATTTATCTCCATTTATAGTACATTCGTTTCCTTTTGTTGAATAATTTTGAAGCCGGCTATGATATTCTTGTCGCCGATCGATATGTTTGAGTAGACGAGTGGTTGAATGTGCCGCCCGTTTTTTTGATGCATTTAATTGATGATCGAGCGATGATCGTAGAGGTTGGGGTTTTTATATCCTTTTGTTGTCATCTTGCTTGGAACCAATTTGCCGCCTTCCTAAGCATCCTTTGCTTTGGCATTACCCCTACCTTGAATCTTAATTACATGAACCCCAAACAAAAAAAAAAAAAAAAACTAGGAGTTGTTGTAAACGACCTCCACGAAAATTGAACCCAATAATATTACTGTATAAAAGAGTTTCACGTGTTTACTTGTGTGCTACAAGAACTCATGTAATTCATGTTCACGTTTTATATAATATATATAAAAAAAAAAGAAAAAAACCTAAGTTTTCGTAAATGAATTGCAATAAAGTAAAGTAAATCTCTAATTGTTTGTTTTAAATTCTCAATCCCTAACTCATCGTCGACTTCTGGAGCGAAAGAAACAATAGGATTTTTAGAGATATTGAAATTTCCCCCATAAACTTGTGTCACAAGATCATCCAAGTGGTTGGTAGGTGGCTTCGAGCATTTAAAATTCTTTCAGGCGCCCACTTACAACAATGGGTAAGGATTGGGGATGGTTGATGGTTGTTCCTTTGTTTTGATTTGTTTCTTGGTTTTGCCTCAATATGTAGGTGCTTTTTGGGGCATTGAGGTTCAAGGGAATTCACTTTGCTTTTGTTTCTCTTTCTGTTAGTGTTAGTTATCTGTCACCAGTCTTGAAGTTTCCATACTGGTTCTTGTTTTTTCTTTTTGAGTTTTGGTATTGTTTTGCCAAACTTTTTTTCTTTTTCATCTCAAATTTTTTCTTCTTGCTTGTAAATGTGTTCGTTTTTTGAGTTGTATTTTCTTGTTTTCTCTTAGTAATAAAATTCATCATTCATCAAAAAAACTCATCGTCGACTTCTCATCTCTCAAAGCAAAATCTGTCGGCAAACTCTCACCCAGTCAATGAATTACGTGAAGAAGTAATATACACTACGAAGTCGAATGAGTGATATGATAGGTTGAATGGGTTTTTTAATAGGATATATGTTCAGAGAATGAGAGGCACATCCTAAATAATTTTAATGATGATTGTATTTTAGAAAAAAAAAATTAACATATGAAAACACGTCGTAAATCATTATAAACATTTAATAAAAACTCATTGTATATATTTCATTTCGGACCTGAACAAAATTCTAACGGCGCCATGATCGGTGTATACTATCCAGTATCCACCAAAAAACAAGGGTGTAGTGTAGATTATAGTCATCCTATTATACATATCTCATCGACACATTAATTATTATTCGTATACAAAAGTAAAACAAGAAAGTGTATTAATATATTATGATAGTAGTATATGTGTTGGAAGATGCTGGTGGGGATAAGAAAGAGGGATACTTTTGGAATTTATAATTGCGTAATTTTATTAATTAAATTATATCATTCTTATAAAAAATTAGTCGACATATGCATGGAATTTAGTATGAATGTCAACGATAATAATTAACAACATAATTTTCTAATAACTAGTTAACTACTTCCATATATATGGTACTCCATCCATATGTTCATCATTATTGTTACCACCACTCCAGCTCCCAAAAATATTTATTTGTTGTGTTCAAGGTCAAAGAAAGTGGCAAAAATACCAATTTTTACGACATGATGAATGAAATAACAATTTACAACACTTTTTAACTTCAGTTCAAATTATTAATAACTTATTTAACAACAATACCAATTTGTTCATAGGATCATAATTCAATAGCTCACAACATTCTCTAGCTACTGAAAAGATTGATATAAAAGGTGGAGTTTGTATTGTAGATGATGTTAGTTCCCCTTTGATATTGACAACCTATCTCCATCTAATTAAACTTAAGTGACATCTAGGTGCTTTCCGTACTCCGGTCTCTGCACCTAACTCGTTGCGGAACCCTTAGCCTGAGGCGTTCTGATGTTGCCTAGTACATAAGTGTGCCTAAGCATGAGTTTAAGTGCACCTTTTTGAACCATGGTTGTATTATAAGTCAATGGACCTTAATAATTTGAGTAATTGGGAGATGCCCATACAATATATTTAAATCAAGTATTAATATGGAAGATCTTGAGAAGTTGACCTGTTGGTTTCATCTAATCATCTTGCTTCATTTTAACCGTATAACATCTCAGCCAAATTTTGACTATCACTCATTTACTCGTTATTTGGTTTGAAAGTGTATGTTTCTCATGGTAAATTCTTGGGCCCAAATCAAGAATTTTCAGTTTGGGCAAGCAACCAACTTTCACGGCTTTAGAGAAAAGTCCCATTTGGTTGGGCTAACATCAGAGTTGCTGCGGGCCGAATGGATTCAACAATCCTAGCCCTCAGAACGAAACAGCAGTACTCCATATATAGCAAAGTTTTTTTTGTTTTTCTGAGTGATATCAATAGAGGATAAGAGTTAAACTTACAATTCTATCCAGGATCCCTAAAAAACTCTAAAGAAGTCACCCCAAAAAATCAAAAGATTCTAGCTCTAGACGAGACAAAAGCAGTGCTTTACGCGCCACTCTATGGGCAGCACTGTTGGCGGACCAAGATACCGCCCTAAACTCTATATAAACACCGGATCTGACAAGACAAAGAGCTTAAGATCTGATGACACTCTCGTAACACCGGACCACCAATCGAGTCTTCTATGACGCCTTGACGGACTTGGTTGACGATCACTTCGGAATTACCTTCGACTATCACGCAAGTCAATGATCTTGAGGCTACGATGGAGATAGCGTCTCTAAAGGCTAGAAGCTCTGCCAGGTAGGGATTGACTATTCCTTGATGCTGCAGCCCGAATGCCAACACCACATGCCCGTCTGACCCACGTATAACAAGCTCAGACAAACACCCGGTGGCCCAAACAGCAGCGTCGAAAATGATCTTCAAAAAGTCTTCTGGCGGAGGGACCCAAGAGGTGGCAGGATGGTTTGGGAGTAGAGAGCTGCGGGGTGGAGGAGGAAGGAGAAGATTGGAGACTTCAAGGACCTGGTTGTAGAACTGTCTGGCTGGGGAACGGACATGAGGTTGGTAAAATTCGAAGGTCACTTTATTTCTAAACTTCCAGATTCTCCAAAGTAAACAGACGCATTGGAGAATGTGGAATGGGGAGGTCTCAAAGACCATGACTTGTCGCCACCATAGACTAAAGTTAACAATCTGGGCGGTCTCAATAAAGTTGCTCAATCCCACTAGAGTCCACAGTCTGGTGGCTAGGGGGCATCTGAAGAATAAATGTTCAATGCTTTCTCGATGTCTCCAGCAGACAGGGCACCGGTTAAGGCAGTTTACTCCACGAGTTTGAAGGGCCGCCAAATTGGAGGGTCGATGATATGTACTATCGGTTTTCGGCTTAGAGCCAATGTTATTTCCAGGGCTAAGTGATAACCCGATTTGACTGTGTATTTTCCATCCTTAGAATAGTGTCACACTCTAATATCTTGTTGTGGGCCTTTTCCACAACGATGCTGTCCATAGATCAAATTATTTCGTGTATTTCGTGTATTGGATTTCACTTGACTGTCTACGGCTCCATTGCGTGTGCTCGGGGTAGCAAAGTTGAAGGCAAAGAATTATCGGTCCAAAACTTTTGCACAATAGAAGTCTATACAAGGATCCACTCATCCTCGAACCAACCCAAATTCATTGCGTGTGAATGATGACGATTGAGTTGATGATCATATGATAACTAATAGACCAGAGGGACTGTTGTGATCGTCAAATGCGAATGATCCCTGTAGTAAGAACTTATTGTAAGTACTACGTACTAATTAATTAAGGAGTGACGACATTGGTAGGAGCACACGTGTCACTTGTGACAATTTATTTAAGCTCTAATGAGCAATCTTGTACCTCCAGTCGTGGTATAGTATTCTCCTCGTGATCCTGATTAGGCCAGAGGGACTATTGTGATTATACAACACGAATGTTCCCTCGTCATAAGAAGAACTTACATAAGCACTACGTAATAATTAATTCAGTAGAGACGACATTGATAGTAGGACGTGTGCCACTTGTAACAACTTGTTTAAGCTCTGATGAGCAGTCTTGTACTCCCATTTGTAGTATGGTCCTCCCCTCATGATCCTGATCACCCTTAATCTGCTTCTCTTCTTTGACTTTTGCCCATAAAACGCTATAGAGTCCTCCAACCAATAGCACTCCACCCAAGATACTATTACAGATAAAAACAACTAAATTAAAATTAGGTCAACTAAAAGGAATTCTAATAGATAAACTACGATTACAAAATCATTATATATAATTAAGGTTGTGCATCGATCAATTCGATTCGGTATAATTTAGTCCTCTGTAGACTGGATCGTTGTCTACCCCTATATAAAAATGGGTACCTTCCGAGGTCGATGAAGTCGCACAATAGAACAGAGAACAACATTGTAAAGATGAAAGCCAAAGGAGTTGACATTGCTAGAAAGACTGGTCCTTTCTTCTCCAAAACCCATGCCTGCAAGTAATAGGTCACCCCAGTCACCACAACTCCCTAAGAACACATAGCAAATAATTAGTTCTTAATTATGATATATAAAATTAGTTAATCACACAATCTGTTATTGGCTAAAACAATCGATCTTATAGTTAATTACGTACACAATAAACCACAGCGACGAGTTTCATATCCCAGCCAAGTTTCCACTCATTAAAATCTCTTTCTATTGTGAATGCAACAAAGAAAGACTGGATAGAGCTCATAGCACATTGAAGAGCCGTGAAAAGAAGCTTCGGTGGGTAACTTTTCTGAAGTCTTGCCTAATACCAAAGAGAAAAAAAACAAGCCAAGTTAGAT